GCCTTTTTCCTCTTTCCCAAAAAACCCCCCCCCCCCCCCCCCCCCCCCCCCGATACCCGCATTGTTTTCTTTCCCTGTCCCCGGATTTTTCCTCTTCTACTTTGTTTCCGAAGAATTTGTTCTTGCTTTCTATTACTCACAATTCCTATCACGTATCAGAGCGACTCTAAATACTAGCGCGAATTATTGAGAAAAGAGTCTATTTTCGTGAAAGAGCAAATATGTATGTATACCAATGAATTAAGAGAGGTCGTAGATAAGAGATAGATAAGAGGGTTCTGATTCCCAACGGTGGTGTTAACTCGTTAAATTCGTAAAAATTATTTTGTACTACAAAATTTGTAAATAATTGATAATATCAACAAGATGAAACGAGAAAATGTGTTATTATGCATACGTTGGATACGTGTAGGTACTTGAACAAATTTTATCAAATTATACTTATTGAAAATCATTCCTTAAGTTTGGTACAGAATAATTGGAACTGTTATAGCTTTCTATTATAGGAAAAGTATTCAGTACCTACATACTATCTGATATATTCGTAGTCGAAACTTAAGATTCGTTTCATCTTTTTTCGATTCGATGGAAAAACGGTGCCTCTGAATGCCTCTACAGAACGGTGATGAACGACACGTTGCTCAGGAAAATTTAGGCGTAAAGGCACGAGATATGTGAGAGTGCCAAATCAAAAAGTCGTAAATTACAAAATGGTGCTGGTCCGTCTATGCAGAAATAACATAGACGAATGGAAACTAAATCTTTTATAAGAAAATGTCCGAATAGTTGTCATTAGCAGTGTTCTCATCGATCGACGTTATATATCTAATTTCTTTGGGACCGTGACTCGTTAGCAGTGCGTGCGAAGAATTACAATCATTTAGCAATATCCGTTGAATATGTGCTCTAAAAATAATTGCTATTCCCTAGGTGAAAATAATATTTTATAAATGACTTAAAAATCAACTTGAATGTTATAAATATAGAAGATGACAGATTTTATTATATTTCGGTCACATGTAACTTAAAAATCAGATTTATCGTTCCTTCAATTACAAATTAATTCTTGTCGAAAATTTTCTTCTTTTATACAAAATTTTCGATAAATGATTTATTACAAAACGTGTCATATACTCGTAAGTGTAACGCTATTGGCAACATTTTAAGTCGATCTAATAGTTATAAATAAGATTCAAAATGGAGCAGTACTTTTTCATGCAATAAGAAATATTTATGTCTTTATTTACGTTGCATGAATATTTATTAGTATTTTTTATACGCTATTCATAAAAATCGTAATACTACACGGCGTTGGCAAATTTTAATATTCTCTTCCTATTCCTGATTTAAGGAATATATATTTGAGTGTACAAATAACATAAATTTATTTAAATAATCAAAAAATAGGTACTCCCAAACACACATTTAGATAAGTACCTGATAATATCATTAGACCCGAAAAGAGAAGATTTTGGTTCAAATATTTGAAGAGCTACTACTTCTTTGAAGGAGCTTAGATATCAATCATAAGCGATACTTACGTCAAAAACACTGTTTATTTAAATCTATTGATCTTGTACTTATTTAAAGATAATATATAAGCAAAATTAAAGTTAGTGAAACTCAACTATGCAAGTGATAAACTCTTTTTAAATGTGCACCTTATACTTTATTTCCGATATAAGAACTGATCAGTATTGGTACCTACTTTGTGGTAACTGTTAATTTTACAAGGATAGTTAATATTCCGAATGTAAAATTTCTACACATTAAACGAGACCAAGCTATAATAATAATTATAATAATAATAATTATAATGATAACGATAATGATAATATGTCATCGTATATTAAATACGTGCAATAAAAAAGATCACTAAAATGAATATTTTAGATGCTGTTATAAAAGAGGAAAGACATTCTATTTTAATTGGTTAAAATATTTTGCTAATCCGCTGAAGTACTTTATTAAACAACACTCAATCCTAATCTTAATATTTCCATAAAGACAAAAAATATATAATCGCATTACTTATTATTACTTATTTATACACAGGTACGAACGCTACGAATCGATAACATTGAGCTGCATAATTGTGATAAAGGTCGAGAATTGTTGTAAAAAATAAACATTAGCAGTACTTACAAGCATGTACTACTAGCATGAAATTTTTAACACAGGATTTCATTAGATATGTCTAGTAAATTAACATGTTATTATATACATACTATTGATATTACCTATATTGAAAGATATAGATTACCAAGATAAGTATAAATTGTTATGAGTTCATAAAAGCATTGTAAATAATCTAGTTATCATACAGTATTAAAAAGTAATAATTAGTAATAGACTCCTAGTAGATGGTTTATGCCTTATATTAGAAAACAAACAAATAAAATATCTTATTTCCTCTCTATTTTGTAGCCTTTTAAAATTACACCCTTATAATTCACACATTTGTAATCATTATGGTATGATTCCTGTTCTTAGGTACTGTCCATTGTCATTTCGTGATTGTTTACATTTTCGGTATTTGCTTTACGTTTGACATACAAAGCAAAACACGTTTGTTTTCATTATGGTATGCCTAAAAGCATTAAGAGGCTAGATGATTGTACTTGTACTACATGTATGCAGTATAAATATGGCTTCACCACAAAAGTTAACAACTAAATTGTTTAATTTATCGCCCCAGATATTAAGGAATTTCGATGGAAGGTAACGCAATACTAAAATAACGTAACGCATAAATTCACTTATTTAAAGAGATCATGATATGTTATATTGTTATAGAACGTACTTAAATAAAAAATCTCCTATAAAAAATATTCATAAAAAGACTATAGGAAACAAGAATCAACTATCCCCTTTTAATATTGACACTCCTAACAGACAGAAAATATTGAAAGATGGTCTTCCTTTTAAACATGGGACATTTTTAGGAAGTGGTGGATTTGGTACTGTATATAAAGCTTCATATAAAGGTAAAATTTGTTTTGAATACTTTTTCCTACTACTGTCATGTTATACTATATACAATATAATTGAACATTAAGTATTCGATAGGAGATCAAGTAGCAGCTAAAGTGATGCAAACAGAAAAGTGTTCCAATGTATTTGACTGTGAAAAACATGCTACTTTTCTAAGACATTCTAATATAGTAAAAGTATTAATGATAGAACAAGGTGTTTCCCTGTCTTTAATAACCATGGAATTATGTGGCACTACGTTACAAAACTACCTAGATGAAACAGCAATAACTAAGAATGAAAGAGTTGGCATATTAAAGAATATAGCTTGTGCTCTACAGTTCTGTCATAGTGCTGGTATTGTTCATGCAGATGTAAAACCTAAAAATATTCTAATGTCTGCGGATGGCCAACCAAAGCTTACTGATTTTGGTAGTTCTGTGCTGATAGGAAAACCAAATAAAATTAATAAATTTCATGTATGTTTCTGCTGTTTAAGTATTTTTATCTTTATTAAAACAAAGAATTTTTTCCCAGGGTACACCAGGTTATACTGCTCCAGAGGTAATAAGGAGAAATAAACCATCACCTGCAGCAGATATTTACTCCTTAGGAATCGTAGCATGGCAAATGTTATCCAGAATGTTACCATTTGCTGGATTACATAGTCACACAATTATTTATCTTTCCGCAAAAGGGTACCGTCCCATAGATGATAATATCGATGATGAATTTAGAGGTATCTATAAAACATTATATAGACAAATGTGGTCACAAAATGTTATCGACAGACCTACAACTAGCGAAGTAATAAGTAAGATAGATACACTAATTTCTGCTTAATATTTATTTTAATACTTATTTTTATTCATTGGATATCTTTAATATTCAATATTAGAAACTCATAAATTAATGGACAAGTTTTTATTATACAAGATATAACAAAGAATGTCATGGTTTTATGTATCAGGCATTTCTCCACCAGGTACAAGCTGCAACAAAATATTTTAACAATAATACAAGTGTCATAAAACCTAATTTATTATATAAGGTTAGGAAATTAATAATTAATTTTAAGAATAATTATATTTAAAAAATTAATTGAATCTATTAGAATAAAAAAGGTATGAACCATTGTGATATTGCTTCCATTAAGTAATATTTGATCGAGTTTGGTGACCCTACGTCCTTCGGGCGTAGCTTCACTTTCCGTTACATCTTCGAGCAGCATATTTACAAAATCGTCAAAGCCTAACAAGGTGCCAACTATTTCTTTATCGTTTCTCATGATAATATGTATCCGAGAACCGATACATTTGTCAACTAATTCTGCAAATTGATACAATGAGGCAATATACCGGTAAAAAGAAAAGGGTTAAAAATACATTGTAAACAAAATGTACCTTACCCAAGGGTAATAACGTCGACGGATTTGTACTAACAGAACTCGTCATAATGAAAAATATTAGGAAGATGTAAGATAACTAAAAATAAAAATATAGCACAAATTAATACTTTCTTTCATCGATAAATAAGAGGATTAATGTTCACTCTATAATGCTACGCATGTAAATATTACTTGAAAACGTCATCGATGCGCCATCTATGTGATACTATACAGCAAACAACAACACACAACTGGTGCTCATCCACTGTGATGAAAAAAATGTGCAAGCTCATATGTTAATTGCGATTAATTTATAATTCTTTTCTAACGAATGTATAACATTTTTATATACGTTTGATATTCACTTCATTTCTAAGTTATCTTGAGATTTCTATAAGTTTCGTGGTTTCTATGCTTATAGAGTGCCTTATCAACGAACCACTGCTCACGATAGGGATTCTTTGGCCCGTAAAATTATCAGTTGCACATGCTTGTTCTAGGAAATATAGGGAAATTAGATTTTGAAACTTTGCCAACAGTGGAGGTCGGTAAATCGTGATCAAAATTTTGGACGTTAACCAAAGTACCCTATGTAATTTCAATCGGTCCACTAATTTTAATCGCGATGAACATTTGTATTATTACACTGTTATCGTATCGTTTTTAAAAATCGTATATCCGCGACGAATCGATTTAACAATCTCATGTTTTGTTTTTATTGCAGTGTAACATGCTACCTTTTATCGAGCGATATAGAGCATTTGCTCCACTTAAACAGAGGCTAACCTCCCTTTCGTTTAAGTTATATTATATACAACATTGTGGGAAAACGAAGAAATTTCAATTACAAAGCGCTTAAAAATATCGGACGTCATGCCGTGTTTATTTCAATGGCGTTAGAGGAACAGCGTGTCATTTTCCAAAACTGTGTTTCGAAAAGCGTAAACTATTTACCCGGAAGGAAATCAAAGGGAGAAGGCTGAAGGATTCTACCTGTGACCCGCCATGTGACCTGTTTCTATTCGAGGGACGTTTATTGGTCAATGTCAGCGTATACCTGCGGCGAACGCGCAAGAGCGCAGGTATACGTATATCCTTTCTAGCATACCCCTTCCTTACGAAAGGACAAAGTGGCTTCGTTGGTTCCCGTTACGGCAGACTTCGGTTGTGGCTCGCGAAAGAAAGGCGGAACGGTGGAAAAATCTGCACGAAGAGTGCGCGGAAGGATCGTGTAAAATAAAATTGTGCGATCAGTGTCTCGTGTATTCTTATCGCGTAAAGTAGACGACTCCAAGTACCGACGTGCATTGTGTTCACCGCGCATGGTCCGTTGAGGAGAACCACCCTCCTTTTTCTAATTATTTTAATTACAAAGACGAGCCTATTCGACGTGTGTGCTCCTTGTTCGGTGTTTCTTAACAGGTACAGTGCAAATACATTCATAGAATCCAACGAAAATGGCGGCTTGAATCCGATCGACGATTATACTTGTGAATTGCATTTTAGGCGGCAGATTGAATGGATTCTTTCCGTGGTCATCGAAACGTGGATTCGTCCATGGCAAGTATACGTCCTGTTGATCCTGTTAATGGTAGAACCGGGCACGTCACCTTTCTAAATGCACTTTAATATCTCGCGTAATCCGTAGCGACACGTACGAATCGAAATAGATCGAAGGAAGAGTCGAAACGAAAAAGGTAACGAGATCCGTGATACGTTCAGTTATGCGTATCAACGTGCAAATAAACGTAACGGACAGTTCACTGAGAGGTCCGTTACCCTCGGTATTTCTTACGACGTCAACGTGCTTGTGTTTCCACTGGAGATCGAGAAAGTGTGCGGCCACGATTTAACGGAGGTGTTTCGATAAAACGAGTGTTGCCACGACGATTATGCTATCTTGTTGGAAAGATTGTAAAACGAAATCTTGGAGAGAAATCGCGCAGTGAGAAGCATTGAGCGATGAACTAGAACGAAGAAGGCGATAGGAATTCTGGTTCGCCGCGAACGAAGAAGGAATCGGAGGACGTGCTCGTGGAAGTGGAAGA